AAATAAAAATTAGTACATAAAATGTTTCTATGCTTCAAGAAGTAACCTCCTATTAACTGCAAAAGGGAAAAAAAAACCCTATGTGAAACAGCTTATTTTCTCCAAATAGTGAAATGAGTATTACTGGTCTGCACATCAGACAGGGAGAAAACTTAAGGGGGCTTAATTCCAAAGGGTAGTATAGGATGAAAACAGACATGGACCATTGATTCCAAACAGATTGGGTAAGGATGTGAATTATTCAAGCACAATAAGGTATTAAAGGAAAGTAGGATATGGGGGAAGGGAGGCGACCTCTCTCTCACTGATGCCGCTAACATCAGGCAAGGACTGCCACCAGGCTAGTCCCCGGACTGATGCCAGAAACTAGACACAGGGTGGATGGCCATGACCTAGCCTAGAAAGCTACTTCCTAGCCTCTCGCTGGGCACCCCATTTACAGGGACCCCAGGCTCCCGGGCCTGTTGGCAGAGAGCTCCTTAGGGGGTCAGCAGGATGGTGCAGGACAAAGAAGACCGCCCGGACTGTGCCCCAGCCATACACACTCTCTGACCTTTGCCCGCCCCTCTGGATGCTATGGGCTAAGAGATTGTGCCCCTCCCCGTTCACAGACTGAAACTTTAATCCCCGATGGTGGGATTAGTGCCCCCATAAGAGATGTGACAGACAAATCTCTCTTTCTACCACGTGAGGACACAGCAAGAAGGCAGCTAACTGTCTGAAAACGAGGAACAGAGCCTTCACGAGGAACTACATTGGCCTGCACCTTGGTCTTGGACTTCCCAGCCTCCAGAACTATGAGAAATAAATGTCTGTTGCTCAAGCCACCCAGTCTATGGTATTGTGTTATAGCAGCCTGAACAAAGACAGTGGGCGAATCCTTTTACCTCTCTGAGCATCAATTTCCTTTTCTGAAAAATGTGGATAGTAATTTTGTCTGTGTCCTCCCTCCCTTCCTCCCCTTCCTTCCTTCTATCCAAGTCTCCCATGGATATCAGAAGTACTGAGTAAAAAAGTACATTCAAAAGACCCTGAAGTGTCCAAAGCCCTAAACAAACATAATCTTTATAAAGTTGTGTGGAACCAGCTAACCCAGTGCTACTACCATCATCATGGTTACCACAGGGACACCACCCACTTGAGAGAAGGACAAGCTGCCCTGGGCAACTGGAGATCATGTACAAGACAGCCACACCAACACTACAGAGAGACTGGACTTGGTGTTAGAAATAGTTTACTCATCACTAATTCATAATAAGTCAATGAGGGTGAATAATAAGTATCAGTAAAAAGTATTCACTACAGCATGGGCTCAGGTAGACCCCTCAAGAGTGGAGTTTGTGTTCAGTCAGGATCGCAACCACGATGACAACTCACACTTACCGCACCCTGACTGTACTGGCCACTGGGCTCAGTCTGGGAACCGATATGTTGTCTCAGCCAGGGGCTTACGGAGGCAATGGTGGTAGGAGAGATGCTGGAAGTAAAATTGTGAGAAGATTCTCAAGGAAAACAGGGGTGAGGTGGGGGCGGGGGAACCAGACTGTAGGCCCCATAGCTGGGTACAACATCTTTATTGCTCTCTGCTACTACATACTCAATACCTAGCAAATAGTAGGCAATCAAAAAATGTTTTCTAAATGAACAGAGAGGGGCCCGGCCAATGCTTTCATATGTAAGGAACAGGGATTCTTGGCATCCAGGAGCATATCTGAGCTCGGGCTTAGTGGGTCTAATTTGGTTCTATATCTACGAACCTTTGTTTCAATTCTCCCCCCAAATAAAGAAGATTCACAAGGTCACGTTTGCCTTGCTCCAAAACTTGGATGCTCCTTGGCATCATCAAGATCTCATCATTTGTCTCACACACACACACACACACACACACACACACACACACACACACACACAACCATGTCTCCTGGCTCCAGAGTGGGAGCCGGGCCTTGTCAGTGAGAGCCGAGGACCCTCCCTGCACTGAGTGCCCTCGCTCTGCATCCAAAGGCCTCAGGAGACAACTGTCTCCTGCCCAGGCCCCCTCCGAAAAGATCTGATTTTCTCATCATCTGGATAGTCTCAGTGACTTACAGCAAAGGGATGAACCAGGCTGACCTTTCTGGAGGTTTGTTTAAAGCAGAACAATGTTTGTCTTGTCCAAACACTATGAATTACTCCAGAGAATCCTGCCTAGTTTTACAATCTGCAGCTACAAATGGCTTACATAAATAGGGACTCGTCCCTTCCCCTGCTCCCTCTCTGTTCTTAACAGCTTTCCCCTCCACCCGCCCTTCCAGACCTTTCTTCTGTTCCCCTTCTCTCCTCTGAGCCCCAGGGTAGTGAAGGGGCAGGTGTTGGGTATTCTGGGCCATAGCCTGCACCTGGGTTATTGCTGGCACAGATCCCCTATGGCGGTGGGCTGCTTGCTCTCAGGTGTGGGCAGGGTTTACCTTGCTAAGGGGCCCTCCGGGCACTTTTGTACTGTCTGTGTGGGGCCTGTGGTGCATGCACAGTGTTAGGTCCAGCTGTCCATGTGTGCTGGTAAGTAGAGGCCCCTAGCTTTGGGGCTCAATGTCCAGTGAGTCTTCTGCCCACTTAGACCATTTCTCATGCACTCAGCTCACCTACAGCAGCTCCTCCACAGGCAGCACATGCAGGGGATCCAGAGGTATCTCCTGCCTAGTAGACTGCACCCACTACAGGCCTCCAGTAGAAATGGGGGATAGTCAGGACTATTCAAGTCCAGAAAGGAGGCTGGGCCTGTGGTCCTGGGAGGGAAGAGACAGCAGCGGGAAAGACCAGTCTGGGCCACGATTCCCTAAATATAGTGCCTATACCACCTACATCAAGTGCTTCAGGAAGTTTGTTTAAAATGCAGATTTCTGAGCTCCTCCCGGGCCTAGGGGCTGTTGCCCAGAGTCTGAGATTCACACTGCTGTGAAATCCACTCTAGTTCAAGTTCTCTGACAAGATGGATGGCACTGGCAAGTCACTTAGGGTGTCAGTATCACCTTAGTTTCCAGGAGAGCTGGACGCCAAAACCCAGGCGCAGCAAAGGCGGGTGGAAGCAGCCTGAGGGGAAAAATGGGGGAGTCGCTAAAGCCCCGAGGAGAGGTGTTGGTGAGGACTTGGAGAGATGACAGGAGGGTATGTGGCTGGGCTGACGGTTGGGGGTGTGGGTGGTGTGTGGGATCCTTCTACTGAGGGTCCCTGTACTTGTGGCCAGATGTGATCTCATTTCATTCTTGCTTTGCAGACAAGAAAAGTGACACTCAAGGGAGGTGTGACTTCCACTCAAGTCGCTGCGTGGCATGGGATTCGACCCGCCACGCACTCTGGGACACCCTTCTGGCCATTCCAGAAATGTCCCTTCTGGCCAGCTGCTTCCTTTGTCAGTCCAGCCTCTCAACCAAGCTGAGCTAGCTTAGAACCACAGCTTCGTCTCTTCCCCAGAAGGGAGGGACCCACGGGACCCCACGAGATGGGCGCACGGAGAGCCCCTACCGCAGAAAAATCAAGAGCCTGGAGCTTCCCCTTGGACAGAGCCAGGCTGGACCTGCTCACCCTGAGGCTCCGGGGTAGGGCTGTAGCGGCATCACTTGACGCGGCTGAGCCCCAACCCAAGGCAGGGGCGCCGCCGGGGGAGGGCCCTGGCTTTCTGAGCCCGCAGACCAGCCTGTAGACCGTTTGTGTCCAACACTAGGGGAGACCCCGGGTCAAAAGGAGGTCAGAGGATAAAGCCGCCGTCACCCTTGGGTCCAGGCAGGAAGGGAGAGTTGCAGGCACATGGTCACCTCCCTTGCCCCGCCCGCGAAAGCGCTGATATCGCAGGGAACCCAAATTAAACATCTGGTGAGGGTCAGAACTGCGCCGGCGGGCCCTGCTTCAGTGATCCGCGCTTGCGCTCCGGATTCCATGCACAGTTGAGGAGACCCGCTAACTTGCTGTGTGGCCGCTGGCACTCCACCGACCGCGCTGGGCCGCGCTGGTCCTTCCCTCTGGCGAACCTTGTGGTTTTGGACGGGCGCTTCCCAAGCCCTTGAATAGCCGTGCCTCCTTCTAGTTTAGATTTGATTTTCTAATCAAGCGTTTTGTCCCCTGCGGCCTTAACCCGAGCCCCCTGCCTTCCCGTTTCCCTTTGGCCCCTGCCCGGGTCTCGTTCTCGCCCGACTTTCCCGAAGGCACTCGAGTGAGTGCTTCCCGGGAGCCGGGGCTGAGGCCGGCGAGTCCGCGGCGCGGCCGGGGCTGCATGGAAATGGCCAGAGAAGCCGGCGGGCGCGGCGGCGATTTATTCTGGGAGTGACAGCCCCTTTGAGCGCTCAGCGAATGGCATTTTCTGTCTGTGAAAGCCTTTCTTCCCACCTCTGTTCAGATTAGCCTGGGGGATGAATGCGCCCATTATCCAGCCCGGTGACCATTCTGAAACGCCAAATTAATTACTAAGCACTGAATCAGGCGCCGGGGCCGGGGCACTGGGAGGTGTGAAAATAGAAAGCCGCTGGAGATGGCGAAGGCGAGGGGCGCAGTGCGGAGAGGCCGGGCGGGGTGGCCCGGGGCGCGGGCGCGGCGGGGCCAGGGCGGGCTTGCTTGGCCGGCCGCCGAGTGCGACCAGTCGGCGTGACCCGGCGCGACCGCGGAGCGAGAGGGCTGCAAAGGTACCCGGGCGGTCAGGACGGCGCGGAGCGGGTGGTGGCTCCAGCAGGCTGGGGCTCGCTGGGGCAGCGGCCAGAGCGCGCCAAGTGCCCAGCGCGTGGGGTTGGGGCCCCGAGGATGCCGCGCGGGTGTCTTTCCCCGAAGCCCTGCCCGTAAGGCCACCCCCAGACTGCCCCAGCTCTCGCCCACCCGCGCCATCCCCGCCCCGTCACCGCGCCGCTTCAGCTGCCCTCCAAGGCCTTCAGAAAACTTGGGCGCCGCCCTCCAACTGCAGCCAGGGCTTGGGGAGTGCGGGTCTGCTCCGGGCCACCCCCACCGGGCCCGGACTCCGGCCGACCGACCGCACTTACCTCCGGAGGCGCCCGGTGGGAGAAGGAGGCAAGCTCTCGGCGGCTCCTGCTGGAGTGCGCTGGGCGCCGAGGAGCGCGGCCTTTAAGACTCTTCCCCGAGACTCCGCCAGGTGGTGTCAGGCCGGCCCGGCTCTTGCGGCTCCTCATCCCCGCGGCCACTCTGCTTCCCAGGCCGCCCTGGGCGGAACCCCAACTCCTCGCTCCCACTTCGCATCCTGCCACGCCCGCTCCAGCGGAGTTGAGCCAGAAGCACAGGAGGGCAGGATTGGTATCACACCGGATGCCCAAGAGAAAGCCACCCATCCCACCCACTCTAGCTTTGGGTTGGCCTTAGGGGTGGAGGGAAGGGGAGGGTGCTGCTGATGTTGGGAGGAAAGAGAAGTCTTGTCGGAAGACGCGTGATTATGTCCCCCACTGTCATCACGTCAGGAAGCACCTCAGGACCGTGTCAAACTAGTCCTCCCGCCGTTGATCCGAGATAGCTGGTGACGCGCCTCCTCCAATCACCACTGAATGACTGAAGCGATGGAGAACTGTCGCCACCGAAAACTAGGGAAACGTGCCATTCACATTCCTGAAACAGAAAAGTTTAAGGGGACCCAAGGGAAGGGTGAAGGAACTCCACATACATCAGGCGAGAAGCTGCAGTCGGCCGGGGAAGAGCCCAGGGCGAGCCTGTGCCGCTGCGCCTCCTCCAGGCTCCGGCGGAGTCCGCACGCAGCCCCCGGGCCCCTCCGCGCAGCTCCCCTGCTGCAGGCGGTTGCCGGCGTAAGCCACGACTGCAGCTTACCAATATTTTATATCATCTGTATTCTCTTTCAAAAATTATTTTAAATATTTGTATTGAGATTTCAAATTGTGTTTTTCTGTCTTCGTTGTTTACCATTCTTTTATATAAACGTCTCATTCTTCAGTTATTTTTAATTTCTCACAGTTACTGAAATGCTTACTTTGAGTAATCCTTAGGGGAAGGGGATTTGGGTCTTTGCATGTCCAAGAATTTCTCTGTTAACTTATACACAGACACTAGTTAGACTTAGGATGCCACCAGGTGTAGGATCCAAAACCTTTATTTACACTCGCAGCTCTGTGAGGCAGGGGTCTTCTCGGCCTTAACCAGGGCAGCAGACCAGAAGTGCTTGCTTTGCTCTGTGCCCAAGTCGTGTAGAGGGTCCATGAACAGAACTATTTGTGACTATGAGTTATTTGTTATTGACTCATTGTCTTCTGGTTTTTATAGTTGTACAGACTTCTAGATTTAGAGAAAATATAATCATCTTGTTTAGATATCTGTCTTTAGTTTTCTTTACTTTTTAAAAGATAAAACTGTGTAGATTCTGTTACTGCCTCCTTTGCCAGTTGTGGGCTCGGGTTAGTCCCTTCCCTCTTCGCCTTCGCGGCTTCCCCTGCAGCATGAGACACTGAGCTGTGCGGTTGCTGGGGCCCCACCCAGCTCCAACAGCCTGGGAGCCTACTAGTCTAGGACGAGAAAGCAGCAGCCCTGCCATAAGGATACCACTTCCCACCAGCCAGGGTGGCTGCAATAAAAAGACAGTTGATAGCTGGCGTTGGTGAAGACATGGAGATATTAGAACCCGCATGCATTCCTGGTGCGGATGGGAACATGGTGCAGCCACTGGAGAACAGTCTGGCAGCTCCTCAAAGGGTGGAACGAACAGCTACCACACGGCCCAGCAGTTCCACTCCTGGGTGTATACACACCCCAGAGAAATGACAGCGTAAGCCTGTGCAAACACTTGTACACAAATGTTGGTAGTAGCATTCTTCATAATGGCCAAAAATGGAGAACGACCCAAATGGACATTAACTGATGAATGAATGCATAAAACGTGGCAATATAATGCAGTATAATTCAGCCATAAAAAGGAATGAAGTACTAATAAATGCTACAACACGATGTGGCCTGAAAACAATACGCGAAGTGAAAGAAGGCTCGGACCAAAGGCCACATCGTGCATGGTTCCATTTATTATGAAATGCCCAGAATAAGCAAATCCAAAGAGACGAATGTAGATTAGTGGTTGTCTGGGGCTGAGGTTGGGGGTTGGGGATAATGAGAAGTGAGTACTTATGAGACTGGGTTTTCTTTTGGACATGATAAAAATTCATTGTGATGATGGCTGGACAATTCTGTGAATATAGGAAAAACCATTGTATTATATATGTTAGAGGGATGAGCTGTATGGTTAGTGAGTGCTATCTCACTGCAGATATCATGGAAAAATATATATGAGCACACAGTACATGTCAGGCACTGGGGTAAGTACTTGCGCTGTGGAAGTGAACGAGCTGATGTTGGCTCTGCACTCATGGAGCTCACAGCAGAGCTAGGGGTTAGCCACTGCAGGGCCCTACAATCTGCCAGAGGCATGGAATGCCTTCCTCCCACTTGGGCACAAGGCTTTCCATGACTCATAAGAAGGAAAGGGTTTTCTGCATCTTACCATGTCCTGATACTTAGGTATGAAGTTGTTCTTCTTCCTCCTGCCCTGGAAGAGATGGCTGCAGGTGGCCCTGCGGACTCAGCATGGTTTTTGACTCTCAAAATAGTGTCTTCCAATAGAGTAGCCTTTCAAGGCCAAAACACAATGACTGAGAATAGCAACTGTGAAAAAAATAGCAAATGTGAAGCCAAATGCTGGGGTTCAAACCCCAGCCCTGCCTTAAACATACTCAAGACACTGACCTTTGTGCCTCAGTTTCTTCACATGCAAAATGGGGACAACAGTGCCTATGTCCTAAGGATTGTGAAAATTAAATGAGTTAACATATATAAAGTAATGGTCTGTGGTAGGCACCCCATAAGCATTAGCCAATGATATTATTCAGTTATTGATAATGATCTGAAAATTAAAGTGCCCTACTTCTCGCAAATCTGCTACTTTCCTGTGTCCCACTAGGTGGCAGAGGCGCAACACCCGGGGCAACATATATGGCCTTATTATGTCCCTTGCCCAGAGAACTCTGGGCTTTGATAAAGGATGCAAATCATTTGCTAGTGCTATTGTTGTGATTCTGTCTGTGAGCTATATATGGCGACATCACCCATAATTCAGCAAAGTTTGCTATTCAGTGCCGCTCACTGGGCAAAATTTTCTCCAATCCAGAGAAACCAGCGTTTGTCTACAAATCAAGTGCATGGTTAAGCTAAAACATTAGCCATGCACCAGCTGATGTTCCATCATCCACCCAAGGGAGTGAAACCCACCTGAGCCTCCCACAGCACCCTCCTCGTCTTTCCCATGAGTACTTCATAACACTCACCTGATCACCCGGAAATGAAGTTTCTAGACAACGTAGTTTTCCGGCACACATAATTTTCTCCCCCCATCAATATAATGGCTGATGGTAATATAAGGAAGAAATAAAAAATTGTGTCACACATAGTAAACTAACATGCATTCGATATGTAAATGCCTGGGCACAACTACATTAGGTAGTGTAACTGAATGCCTCTGTCTAAAAGTAGAATTGCCAAGAAGATAACAACAATGAATGTTGTCTGATGGAGGTGTATCATCCTGGTGCCCAAACATCCTGAGTGGCGTTGCACAAAGCAACACGATTTTCCAAAGTAGCCAGTAGTTCTTGGTCAAGTTGCCTCCCTGGAAATGTTAAGGTATGTCAAAACAATGCATCAAGACAAAACCAAACCAAGCCTTTGTATTCATAGACAAACTAAAGTTACAACTCTGGGCACAAATGATTTTTCATCTGTGAGTGTCCAGTAGGGCATTTAAAAGCTGCATGGGACATCGTGCTGTGCAGGACTGTCCCCTTGTGTGCTGCAGATGCCTGGAGCCCCTGGCCCCTGGCTGCTGAAGAGCAGCCTCCCTGGTCACTGTGGCCATCCAAGCCCCTGCATCACAAAATTTCAGCAGAACAATCGGATCTCCACTCACTGGGAATTTCTGGGCTGGGGTCAAAATTGCCGTGTGCATTGTTAGCAAAATGAGCACTTGGTTTGCAAAGAGCTCAACTTTTAAAGGGCATGTGCTTCTGGGACTAGAGCCGGGGCTCAAGGGGGTTCCAGAGAGAAAGAGGCTGTGGGATGGGGCCTCTTCCCCTGTCTCCTGTTAACTCTTTGTCCAGAGAAGAAAGGCCGCACCTGCCAATCTTTGGCATAACCTGGGGGTCTCTTTGAGGCTCTTCCTAAAATCCAGCTGGGAAGTAAATCAGCACAGACATAATTCTGATTTTAGCCAGAGGGGTCAGGGCCTCTGAGCAAACCCTTGGTTTGTGAATATTTCCTGCTGTCCATTTGCTTGGCATGTCAGTCTCAAGCTATTCTCACTCTGCTTTCTCAAGGAGGGGCTAGCGAGACCAGGACTCCTTGGGACAAAGTTTTGACAAGTTGGCATGTACAGGCTCGCTCGCTGGGCTCCATTAATTATGTCCACCTCCACCTGCTATGGGGCTTTTTCCGGTCCATGCATCTGGCCCTTCCTTTCTCTCAGCAGTTATGGTACCTCCCTCCTTCCCCGCCCCAACTGTCAGCTTGTTTGTCTTGAGAGGCAGGTAGGACGTGACCCAATCTCCCCGCTGGTATTCCTGGAATTCAGCTGCTTTAGCAAACCAAGACGGGATCTTTCCTGAGCAGGCCAGCTGCAGGTTTCTGTGCACATTCCATCACTTCTGCCAATTGATGTCTCAGGGCCAGCTGGTCATCTACAACACAGGTTTTGATGCCTCAAGAATTCCTTCCCAGACTCTTTGGTCTACAAAGGGCAGTCGAAGGGCCCAGAAGCTTTCCCACCATCAAATGAAAAGGTCAGAAGCCTGTGACTCTGTACTTCTGCTCTTCAGACAGCAGTCCAGATGGCTTTTCAGCGAGGCATCCGTGCACCTGCAGCTGTGAGCCTGTGTGACTCACCCAGGGTGCAGGCACTCACGGACCACCTCCTGTATTCCAGGCACTGTGCATGCAGCCAAACTGGGTAGACACAGTCCCTGTTCTCACAGGGCTCACAGCCTGATGGGAAAGACAGACATCCAGTAAACAGCAAAACAACCAAGATGTGATTGCAATGACGGTGAGCATGACAAGGAATACAGGAGTGCGGTGAGGAATGTAACAAAGGCTAGGCAAGGCAAGAGGCTGGGACACTGGCCTCACTGAGGAAGTGACATCTAGGTTGACATGGAGGGATGCAAAGGGGTTGCCCAGGAGAAGAGAGTGGGGAAGAGCCCCTCCAGCGGCAGTGACCGAGAGGTGAAAGCCCTGAGTCAGAAGGCAGCGTGACATGGTCAAGAAAGCATGATCGTCGACACTAAGTGATCCCGCACTGTGTGCCCAGCACGTCCTTACAGCTTTACCATGTTGGTTCTTCCAGTACCCACCGCGCCATGACGTAAGATGCTATCAGCCCTGTATTACAACAGAGGAAAACAAGGCACAGACAAGTTAAATAACTGTCACACAGCTACAAAATGACAGAACCAGCATTGGGACCCAGGTCCTCTGACTCTGGAGACTGTATCCTTTTTTTTGAAGAAAAATTTCCTCCAGTTTTATTAAGATATAATTGATACATACTGTTATGTGAGTTTAAGGTGTACACTGAGATGATTTGATACATAAGTTGGTTTGAAATGTTTTTTACCACAATAAGGTTAGTTTCCACGGGCTTCACCTCACAAAAATCACCATCTTGTTGTTTTTGCTACAGTGAGAACATGAAAGCTCTGCTCTCATAACGACTCTCGTGTACACAAATACAGTGTTGTTAACTATAGCCACCACACTGTATGCTACACCCCCAGGGCTTACTCATTTTATAACTGAAAGTCTTTACCCTTTGACCATCATCTCTCTATTTCCCACTCCCCTTAGCCCCTGACGACCACCTTTCTTGCAGGTGTGAGGTGGCATCACACTGTAGTTTCCATTCGCATTTCCCTGATGATTAGTGACGTGCAGCATCTCTTCACGTGCCAATACCCGTTGCCATCTGCACATCTTCTTTGCAGAAATGTCTAGTTAAGTCCTCTACTCATTTTAAAATCTGACTATTTGGGTTGTGGTTTTTTTTTTATTTTGTTTGATTTTGTTTGCTGTTGAGTTGTATGAGTTCTTGTATATCTTGGCTATTAACCCCTTATCAAATTCCTTTCTATTCTTTTTTTTCTCCTCTGACTGGATAATTTAAATTAATCTGTCTTTTTAAAAATTATTTTATTTTATTGATTATGCCATTACAGTTGGCTTTACAGTCTATTCCCCCTGTCATTCCCCTCCACCCTGCACACCCCTCCCCCACCATTCCCCCCCTTTAGTTTATGACCACGTGTCTCAAGTTCTTTGGATTCTGTATTTCCCATTCTATTCTTGCCCTCCCCCTATCTATTTTCTACCTACCATCTATGCTACTTATTTTCTGTACCTTCTCCCCCCTTCTCCTCCTCCCACTCCCCTGTTGCTAACCCTTCATGAGATCTTCATTTCTATGGTTCTGCTCCTGATCTAGCTGTCCTCTTAGTTTGCTTTTGTTTTAGGTGTGAGTTGGCTGTCCTTTCACCGTTCATATTTTTATCTTCTTTTTCTTATATAAGTCCCTTTAACATTTCATATAAGAACAGCTTGGTGATGATGAACTCCTTGAATTTGATCTTATCTGAGAAGCACTTTATCTGTTCTTGCATTTTAAATGAAAGCTTAGCTGGATAGAGCAATCTTGGTTGTAGGTCTTTGGATTTCATGAGTTGAAATACTTCTTTCCAGCCCCTTCTTGCCTGTAAGGTCTCTTTTGAGAAATCCGCTGACAGTCTGATGGGAACTCCTTTGTAGGTGACTGTCCCCTTAGCTCTTGCTGCTAATTTGAATCTTGTCTAATGTAATGATGATGTGCCTTGGTGTGTTCCTTCTTGGGTCCAACTTCTTTGGGACTCTCTGAGCTTCCTGGATTTCCTGGAAGTCTATTTCCTTCGCCAGATTGGGGAAATTCTCCTTTATTATTTGTTCAAATAAGTTTTCCACTCATGGCTGTTCCTCTTCCCCTTCTGCTACCCCTATAATTAGGATGTTGGAGCATTTGAAGATGTCCTGGGGGTTCCTAAGTCTCTCATTTTTTTGAATTCTTGTTTCTTCATCCTTTTCTGTTTGGTCATTTTTGTCTTCCTTCTGGTCTACTCCCTTGATTTGAGTCCCAGTTTCCTTTCCATCACTATTGTTTTCCTGTGCAATTCCCTTCATTTCAATTAGTTTAGCCTTCATTTGTTCCTCTAATGTGTGACTAAAATGAATCAGTTCTGTGAGCATCCTGATCACCAGTGTTTTGAACTGTGCATCTGATAGGTTGGCTATTTCTTGGTTGCTTAGAGTTATGAGCTCTGGGGCTTTGAGATCTTCTTGAGCCATTTTTGGTCTGTTTGCGCCCGTTAAGTATGAGGAGGGGAACCTCAGGTGTTCACCAGGGTGGGGCTGCCCAGATCGCTGGATTGTGACGCTGTATGTGGGGGCAGGGTCAGAGCGGGGCAATAGCGGCCCCCTCTGCTGCTTCCCATCACTGGGGCCTGCTCCGTCCGTTTCACTGCTCACTCCTTTGCGGGTCTATCTGTGCAAGAATGTGTGACTGTGTTCGGCCCGCCGCCCTGAGCCCTCGCTGGGTCCACCCATTGCTCACTGGGTTCCCCTGTTGCAACCTCATGCCTGGGATCCGTGCACCTGAGTCCGTCTGACCAAGTTTTCCTGTGCAACCCTGCTCTACCAGCTGCTGGCTTCACCCCTCTTACCAGTCAGGCTGAAGAATTTGTTGTTATCAGACTTCTGAAAAGTTCAATTTTCTGTGTTTTGGCTATGTTTTCTGTTGCTAAAATTTTATTGTCTCTAAACTTGGTTGTGTGAGAAAGCACAGTATCTCCGCCTATGCCTCCATCTTGGCAGAAGTCCTAAATTAATCTGTCTTCTAATCAACTGATTCTTTCTTCTGCTTGGCCTAGTTTGCTGGTATATGTCTGTTGAATTTTTTAGTTCATCATTGCGTTCTTCAGCTCCAATATTTGTTTGCTTCTTTTTTATGTTTTCTATCTCTTTGTTGAACTTCTCATTTTGTTCTTGTATTGTTTTCATGATTTCATGAATAAGTTCATGTGTTCCTTTGTTGCTCTCTGAACATCTTTAGAAAACTATTTTTAATTCTTTGCTGGGTCCTTCACACGTCTCCATTTCCTTGGAGCCAGTTATTGGACATGCACTGTGTTCTTCGGCATTCCCTCTTCAAACCCCCCAAGTCTAGCGGGCACCACCTGGGGTCCACAGCATCAGTAACCGCATGGCTCTTGGCAAGTGCTGTGGGACACCTGTAGTGGCTGCAAGGGCTATTGGGGTCCTCAGTGGTGTCTCCAGTTCCAGCTGTTAGGGACTAAGGCAGGCAGCAGTGGTCGCTGGAGCCACTGGTGTAGGGGCCTGCTGTAGGTGCTTATGTGGTGGCAGAGGTCAGCTTTAGACACAAACACACGTAGTGGTGGGGCCAAGGCCAGCAGTGAAGGCTAGGGCTAGGGCTAATGGCAGGCAGGCCAGTGATCATGGGAACCCAGGCTGTAGGTGTGCACCATGGGGTCTCACCTGGGCGTGCACATGGCAGTAGAGAAGCAGGTGAATGGGGCCAGGCTGCTGGCAAGCAGGCACACAGCTGGAGGGCCTAAAGCTCCTTAAATGAACTGAACTCTCCCAGAGCTATTTTGATTTGGGGATGACTGTCTAATTGTGGGTCTTTGTTAGAGGACAGAGGCTGGGGTCTCCTACTTTGCCCTCTTGGCGATGTCACTACATCACCGAGACTGAATCCTTAACCTCTATGTCAGATCAAAAGTCATGGCCATAACAGAAATACATATGTTGCACATGTGTATCCACAGTAGAAGGGAAAATCAACTATGCTTTCTGATTTTCTGTATCCTTGATGCTTGGGCATCTGGGGCCTTGCTGGTTCTGGAGGGAGTGGCCTCCAGGGTTATCTCTAATTCTTAGAGATAGCAAACAGCTCCCCTGTGAGCATGCCTTTGATATGCAAACCAACCAATTCAGAGCCCACAGCCAAGCTATGACCGGTTGGGCCACTGTTTCTCCAGTCCTAATTACCCCAGGGCTATGTATTAGACAATTAGAGACATGCCCTTTACCTCGGAGCTGCTGAACTGATTCAAATCAGCCAATCCTGAGCCTGCTCACCCCACCTTACCTTGTCTTTCCCATCAAAACCACAATAGAGGCTCTTGCCACGGTTTCCTTCCATTCCTGAGTCTCAAGGCTGATCCCGGTGCTTCTTCCACTGTGTGGCCCTGCAGAGCGAGGGAACTGTAACAAACAGCCTTTTCAGCAGCAGCAGTTGTCTCCTGATTTATTGGCCTCACCATACCTGCATAACAGTAAAACCTACCTTTTAAACCAAAGGGACCCAAGATGTTTCGCTGAGGCTCATGGAGGAGAAGCACAGAAGTAGGACGAGATGCAGGTCTCTGGGTCCTGTCTCCTATGCTTGTTCCACTGCTCTGAAGAGACATTAGGGAGGGGTGGGGTAAGTTTGAGGGGGAAAGGAATAACCTCTTAAGACAGGGCAAGAAAAGCCCTGCTGGTGTGGCTCAGTTGGTTGTAGCATCATCCTATAACCAAAAGGTTGCAGGATTTATTTCTAGTTGGGGAGCATACCTGGGTTGCGGGTTCAATCCCCCACCTAGGAGCTTGTGACTCCTCCGGGTATGTGTGACCCCAGGTCAGGGCGCAAACAGGAGGCAACCAAATGATGCTTCTCTCTCGCATCGATGTTTCTCTCTTTCCCTTCCTCTCTCCAGTCCTGTCTCTTTAAAGCAATGGGAAAAAATGTCCTCAGGTGAGGATAAAGAGAAAAGTGAGGGAAAGACTAATTTCTTGGATAAAAACAGTCACAAAGAAAGGAAGACATTGGAATGGATATTTGGGTAAGTGGAGTTAATAAGGACAGAAGGAACAACTGGAGTATTTTATTTATTAATTTTATAAAATTCATGCCAATTATTAAGAATAGCAAAACCTCATTTGACACTTATATGATCTGGACACTCTTCTAGGTGCTTGCTAAGTAACATGTCATTTAATCCACATAACGACCTTATCAGGCGGGGACTATTTTCATCTCCACTTTGCGCACGTGGGGGGAGGGCAGCCGCTTTCCTCCGCGGTGTGGACGGGGAATGGCGCGACGCAGTCGGACTCCGCTCCCAAAGGAAGTTACTTCCACTCGCGTTCTGCGAGGCGCCCGTCAGGGAGGCCGCCACGATGGGGAGCGCTCTGATCACAGCCTCGCACCCCAGGGTGCAGGCGCCGTGCGGGGCATGATTCTGTCCGGAGGCCCCTAGTGCGAGCAGAGAACTTCCCCGGAAGCCCGCGGCCCTCCCGAGATTTCACCCGAAACCGCCCCGTGGGCCTGGCTTCCCACCGGCCGCAGAACGACGAACGGCAGGGCCCAGGCGGGCGGCCTGGAGCCGGAGCCGGAGCCGCTCCTGCGGGTTCTTGCTGCGGAGTGACCAGCGGGCAGGACGATGGTGACGGCCGAGGAAGGGCCGGCCCTGGGCCGCGCGGAGGGGCGCCCCGCACGGGCACGCCCTCTGCCGGCGGCCGGCGGAGGACTCACCGGGAAGCCTCCGCGTGAGTTTCGGAGGATTCCTCCAAGAGCAGCCCCTCCCGCCACCAGGTGTGTGTGAGGGAGGGGCGGGGGTGAGGCAGAGACGCTGGGGGTGCGAGGCCCAGCAGAGAAAAGGGCGGAGACTCCGCCCGGGGCAGCTCCTCTCCCTCCGCCGGAGGAGCCAATGCTTCGAAGCACCCGCGCCCCCTGGTGGCAGTACATCTCCATCCACGCTTCGGGGTTCACCTGCAGTCGGTGAACTGAGCAGAAAACACACACACCTTAATTTTCACCAGCCTCGAACCGAAATTCAGCATTTCCTTTGATTTGCACACAACAAATCATAGTAGTGTCAGCAAACAGTACTGGTGACTTTGTCGAAATGAACAGGTATTTTTATTCCACATTACAGTCGTGGCAGATAACTTGCAATATCACTTTCATTTATCGCTATGTCAAACTTATGCCAGCTGTCAGATCTGCCACTGGATTGTGTTATCGAACACATTCATCAAGAAGCACATGTGTTACTGGATTTTCAATTTTTTAATGGCGTGTTAAAGCTGTAATTCAGTATAATTGTTTTCCTTTTTATCGTATGTATTTTATTTGATGGATGTAAAAATTCTTCTGAAATGGAGTTCATACGCTTCACTGGGTTGCTAAAGGGGTCCATGACATAAACATGGTTAAAGATCCCTGCTTCAGACAGAGCTGGTTCAATTAGCCCTTCTTCTGTCACAGAGGTAGGGGCTACTGACCCATGGTGTGGGCGTGGGTGTGTGATTCTGGACAGCCAGGGTCAAGGAGACAGGAGTAGGTAGGGAGTGATGAACGCAGTGTTTTTCCTTAGACCATGCACAGCTGACACAGTGGTTTGAGTTGAGACATCAGAAATTGGAACTCAGGCCCCGGCTAGTGTGGCCCCGTGGACTGAGGGCTGGCCTGCGGACTGAAAGGTCGGTGTTTCCATTCCCAGTCAGGGCAATCAATCGATGTTTCTCTCCCTCTCTTTCTTCTTCCCTCCCCTCTCTCTAAACATAAATAAATGAAATCTTTTTAAAAATGGAGTCTCCAATATCCTGCAGGTGTTAGCGCATAAGGGTGGCAGTGGGGCTTCTCCCAGGTGCCAGCAAATACTAGTGATGAGGTTTCCTGGGAGAGAAACACACGGTAACGTGGTGAGGCAGAGTTAAGTCTCAGAACTAGGCAGAATTATCTTAAGAAGAGAAAATGGCTTCCAGGTCTAAAAAGAGTATAACATCACTGTGTATGTTGACAAATGAAACAAGATGTCTACCTCTAAAGAACTTAAAAAACAGGATATGTGCACAGCTTAATAAATATTTATTAAATGTTTTAACTACCACCAAGAAATAAAGTACTACTCATCCCCATCCACGCTTACCATGGGCTTCTCCCTGATTGCCCTCTTTCTTTCCACAGTTCGCCACTCTCCCCATGTTCCATGTGATTTTCCTGCCTACTGCTAGTAAGCTTGTGCATCTTATTTGTTTATTGGCTGTGTTCTTGTTTCCTGTGAAATGCATGTTCATGTCCTCTGCCCACTTTCTACTGAGATGTTTTCTTTAACTTACTGATTTAAATGAATACAGAATTCAGGATATTAAGTGGTAATTATATGTGTTGGAAAGATATCTTCTATATATTTCTTGAGGTTTGTCTTTTTATTTTTAGTGTCTTTTAATTAATATAAATATTAACCTTAAGGTGGTTTAAATATTTTAATCTTATTTTTATGATGAAGATTTCTACCATGTTAAAGAAATCCTTCTTTAACCTGTGGTCATAAAGATGTGCTCATATGTTTTCTTTTCAAAGTTTGAAAGTTTTACCTTCACTTTTAAGTGTTTAATCTGTATGGGGACTTCTAGTTCCAAGTAGAGTATAGTAAATAGCAGTAAGCTTCTGCCACAACAATTAGAAACAACCAGAAAAATTACAAAGATCATATTTTTAAACACATCAAAGAGCAGAGGAAGTGAAGAAAATTAGATTAGCTAGTGGTGGGGGGAAATGCATACAACTGTAATTGAACAACAATAAAGTAATTTTAAAAAAAGAAAATTAGATTAGCTAAAATTTCAGAAAAGGAAGACAGTTTCTCAGGTGAGCCAAGATCAACAATCTTTTTCTTCCAAAGGACATTTGTTGAATCTTAGCAAAGACTGAGGATCTGGCTTGCCACAGTGGGAGGCTTCTCGTGGGGAAAAGAGAAATGAGCAGTGCCTTCACTGGCTGCATGGGCTGGTGTGAGGGAATCGGATGGTTCATGGGATATGAACCCATTGGCTGAGTGCTGGGGCAGCATGGAGGCTGGGGAGCTGAGCTGTAAATGCAGCACAAGGTCTCCTATAGTCTCGTAGTACTGAGAAATCAAAGTCCTGCTGGAGAGAGTTGCAAATCACAAATACATCATTGGTCTCACCATACAGACACTGAAAGCAGAAGTGGACTGAGGGGAACTGGAGCTGGGCTCTATTCCTGAACTAGCTTGTTTCTGACTGGACTGAGATGGTCGACCCCTCACTCTATGAGCTTAACCCAGGAAAGGACAAACTCACTGGAAGAAAATAACATTGACTTCAGTGTTTGTGGTTCCTTTATAAACATTGTCCAGAATACAATGGAAATTAATGGAGCAAGTATGGAGGCAGGAAAACATGACCAATAATGAAGAGAAAAAAACAGACAGCAGTAGCAGACTTGCAGGTGACCCAGATGTTGAAGTACCCAGACAACAACTTTAAAATGACTATTATAAGTATGTTAAAGGAAACAGAGGGAAAGACAGAAAAAAATGAATGAAAAGATGGAAAACTTCAGTGAAGAATTGGATCTGAAAAAGAATCAAGTGGGCATTCCAGTACTAAGAAATATGGTATCTGAAATTAAGAACGCATGGATTTAACAGCAGTCCTGGTAAACTCAAACACAGTTCAACAGAAAACAGACTGCTATAACACAGAAGGAAAAAGATAGAAAAGAAGAAAAATAATTTTGATTTGCAGAGTGCATAATTGTCTATGCTGAAATCCCAAAGAATGTATAAAAAGCTACTCCACCAATAAGCAAGTTTAGCAAAGTTTCAAGGGTATAAGGTCAACATGCAAAATCAATTATATCTCAATAGACTACCAACAAATAATTAAAAGTTGAAACTAAAAAAACCAATACTTTTTACGATAGTGTAAGAAAATATAAAGGACCTAGAGATAACTCTGGTAAAAATACTTAAGCCCTATATACTGAAAACTACAAAATATTGCTGAAATTAAAGAAGAGCCATGTCTTCTAATGGAAAGATATATCATGTTGCTGGATCAAAAGACTCAATACTTGTAAGATATGAATTCTGCCCAAAATGATCTATAGATTCAACAAAATCCCAAGTGAAATCCCAGTAGACATTGTTTTTGTTTAAGCTGACAAAATGATTCTAAAATTTATCTGAAAATGTAAACATAGAATAGCAAAACAACATTAAAGTGGGGGCATTTATACTACTTGATTTCAAGACTTTATCAAACTACACTAATCCAGACAGAGTGCTATGAAGATACACAAGTAGGTCAATGAAACAGACAGTGAATCAAGAAATAGACCTACAGAGATTACAAACTGGCACAGCCGCAAAGGAAAACAGTTTGGAGGTTCCTCAAAGAATTAAAAATAGAACTACCATATGACTCAGCAACCCCACTACTGAGTACTTAGTGGAAGAAGTGCAAAACACTAATTCAGAAAGACATATGCATCCTTATGTGCATTACAGCATTATTTGCTAGTAGCCAAAGAAGCAATCTAAGTGTTCATCAGTAGACAATTGACTAAAAGAAGATGCAGTACATATACACACTGGAATATTATTCAGCCATAAAAAGAACGAAATCTTGTCATTTGTAACAGCATGGATGGACCTGGAAGGTACTGTGCTAAGTGAAATAAGTCCAAGAGAGACAAATACCATATGATTTCACTTATATGTGGAATATAAAAAACAAAATAAATGAACAAACAAAGCAGAAACAGACTCATAGATACAGAGAACAAACTGATGGTTGCTGGAGGAGAGAGGGGGTAGGGGAGCTAGGTGAAAAAAAGTAAAGGGATTAAGAAGTACAAATGGGCAGTTAAAAATAGTCCTGGGAATTTAGAGTGCAGTATAGGGAATATAGTCAGTGATATTGTACTAATTATGTATAGCGCAAGGTGGGTACCAGACTTATTAGGGGATCCCTTCATATGTAATATTAATAACCAACCACTATGCTATAAACCTGAAATGAATATAACATTGAATGCCAACTATAATAAAAAATAAACAAATTAAATATATGTAAATATATTAAATTAACACGCTATACACCTTATACCAAGTTATATGTCAAATATAGTTCAATAAACCAGAAAGAAGAAAAAGAAGAAAAAAATGAAAAGAAAAAGAAGTATACCCACACACAAATAATCCATTGATTTTGGCAAAGAGGCAGCATTGCTAGAATAGCTAGATAGCCATATGTAAAAGCAGCAAAATGACAATTAAAAGACAGAACTTTGGATTCATACCTCATAAAATAAGTGAAAATGGACCATAGATTTGTGGGGGAAAGGAGGAGAGGGATTCTAGGGAAAGTAGCTTCACAGGGCAAACTGACTGTACATTCCTAACTGGGTAGGTCATAGTTGGTAGTAACGCCCCAGACATATAATGTCTTCAGTAAAAGGCTCACCTTGGCGATCAGCAAGCCTTGTCTATCGTTTCTGCACATTTAGGTTAACACACCTCTGAAATGCCTTTTTCCCCAGACCTCTCAGAAGGGTAACCACCCTCAAGAGAGCAAACAACTATGTTGTAATCCAATCATAGATATTTCCCTGCCTATCTTCCTCATCCATTCATGTAGTCTTGCTCCCTCCTTGATTTCAAATGCATTAAAAAAATGCAAACCGTTATCCTGGGAACCCTTTTTCTCAGTTTATTGTGATATTTCTTCTAGGCATATCCTTTGTTTGGACCAAACAAACTAATAAAAATATTCTATAGTTTGGGACATTCTTACGTAAAAGCAGGTGGCAAATCAAAAAGATGTCTGATCTGATTAGCTAGTCAGAAAATGCAAAGTGAATCCACAAGTAGACACCACTACATACACAGTAGAATGGATCAAGAAAATTTAAAGATAATACTAAATTGTCAACCTAAGAATGCCCAAACCTGTAGAAAATGTTTCTAAGAGTTTCCTAGAGTTTATTGGAGCCCAACAGAGGGTACACCTGGGAGTGCGATCTCAAAAGACTGAGAAAAATCCTTCCCAGAATGACAGTTTGTAGCCTTTTTTATGCATTTGGAATTAAGAAGGGAATGAGGAAGAATGTAGAGAAAGCCAGACTGGAAAATTCTTATGACTGGCTTACAGGCTCAGGAACAGGATTATGTGCTCTCTTGAGGGTGGTTACCCTCCTGCAAGGTCTGAAACAACAACAACAAAAGCATTTCAAAGACGCATTAACTTAGATGCACAGAAACAATGGACAGGGCTTGCTTCAGGCAAAGACATCCTTTCACTAGGGAAGTTATAGGCCTGAAGTTACTTTTGGTTAGATTAATTATAGAGTCCCTTTTTTTGTCCACAAAATGTTAGCAAGGATATGGAACAATTGGAACTCACATATCGGTGGGAATGTAAATAATACAACCAGTTTGGAAAACGGTTTAAAGGTTTTCCTAAAATGGTAAACACATGCCTACCGTATAATCCAGCTATTCCCTTCTAGGCATTTGTCCAAAAGAAATGAAAGCATATGTCCTTGCAAAGGCTTGTACATGAGCGATCATAGCAGATTGATTTGTAATAACCCCAAACTGGAAAAAGCCCAAATGTCCATCAAAGGTAAATGTTTAAATTATGGTAAATCCATACAAGGGAATATTATTTAGCAATAAAAAGCAGTGTGGATAATCACTTGTGTCAGCACCATTTTATTGAATGTGCTCCCCATGTCCCCACTGATGTGTAACACCGCCTCTCTCATAAACCACATCCCTGCATATATGTAGACCTGTTTCCACTGACTTATGTTTATCTATACCTGCAACAATACACAGTTGCAACTTTATAATACATTTTTAT